CTCTGGTGTTGCTGTGTGTATGTTCAGGTCTACTAATGTGTATATGGCATAGTTCATGTTTGTTGTGGAACATTTTGTGTTTTAGATACCTTTTTAATGTTTTATGGTCAACTTTGCTGTAACAGGAGACTTTTTGCAGTAATAATGGTGGTTAAGAAGAGATTGTTATTCTCATATTTAAGAATGAGAGATGTAGTTAAAAAAGGATTATCATACTCGTTACAGATTGAGCTATGAGCTATGTTTGGAACTAATTTAAAAATTTTATAGAATTCAGTTGCAAATCCACACCTAGTTTGGGAAAGTATGTAAATTCTAGTGGAAGGATATTAAAAATTAACCTCATATGGGACTCATGAGGAATGAGAAAAAGATGCATTATAAATTCTTTTAAAAATGAAATTTTAACATTTTTTAGGGAGTATTTTCACATCTCCTAGTTGGAGCAAGTATAGATTTACGGAGAAATTCCACAAAAATTCTAGATTTGTCCCAAAGGTTTCATTTATTTGATTTTCCATTTCTCTAAAGTAGCATATGCTTTAACTCCGTTCTGGACCAACTGTTTCCGTATATATCTGCAGGAAGATCCAACAACAAGGAGGTGGTTGCAACAGTTGCTTCACAATGTTAGTGTGAATCGAGTTCCTGCGCTTCAGGCCGGCGCAGGATTTGATCACATGATGTGAACTAAATCATCGACATCGTTAATGGTCTAGATCAGTCTTCTGCTTTAGGAATTTCCTGGTCTAATCAACTCTTCTTTTTTGGTATGTGAATCGCCATAGAACTATTCTGGTTAGTGGAGTGTGAGAACAAGCTTGGGGTAAGATGGGCAATTCGGTATTTAAGGTTGAAAGGGAAGAAAGCTATTTATAACTGCCTTTCCTTTTCCCGCTCGGTGCCGAAGCTGCGTCTTTGGTTACAGAAATTGGGGATGTCCCTCTTATCCTCGAGAGTGAAAAGAAATGCTTACTCTCTCTGATTGGGAGTAGGGCTTGTAAAGAACTAACAGGCGGCTTATTTTGTTAGTTGGTGGCTCTTACCGACTAAACATTAATTGCAAATTCCGCTATTATTTATATATAATAAATAAATTTTATTAATTTCTTTAAATTTTCCCTCTTGAAGGCACCCGTTCGTTGGTGAGTAAAATACTGTGGTTTCTTGCAAGGAAAATCAGGTTTTGTTTGAGAAATGAGAATTTTCTTTTGTTTTATTAATTTTTTTTTAAAGATTTATGTATTTGTTTGAACATAGGAGTTGAATGAAAATGGAAATACTTTTAAGGAGTATTATATTTAAACTTTAACATGAACGAGGAAGTAGTTGAAAAGTTTTTAATGTTTTTTTGAAGAAATTATATTTATACTACTTGAGTTGAAGACTACCATGCTTTTTTTCTCGAAACATAAGTTCGAAGATGAAAATTAAAACATCTTCGGATCATAGGTTTGGCAATTGTAATCTTCTAGCTTTACATTTAGTCTAGGACATTGTCAGCACTTCATGCTTTAGATGTTTCTTGGGATTTTATGTATACACATGTATGTAAATATGGAACCACAGCTGAAGACAGGCAAATAATGCCTGAGCATAACACCTGTAACATCATGCCCTAAATATGTCTTCAAAATTTATTGTTTATTGCCGGGTGCAAACAAAGCACTCGTGTCAGAGACTCAACACGAACTGATTTGTGTTTCTTAGAAAATAAGAGATGTAATTTTTTTGATTCTGTCGTGCTAACGGTTTTATTGGCAACATGTCACGAGACCAGTGACAAGTTGTTGAAGGAAGAAGAGGAAAAAATTAGAGAACCACAATCAGGAGTTTTAAGCCTTCATCATCTGCATTTAACAACTTCACCTTTCATAGCAAGTGAAAGGGCATCAAGACAACCTCCATTCTCCACTTCCACCCCAGGCATGGCCACGGCTCTGCTCCCTACAAACCCATCTTCTCCAATTCTTATCTTTCCGAACTTAACCTTCCCCGCTTCACCTTCATATATGTGTCCGAACAGCAGTGCATCGTGCTCTATGCACCCACCTCTCTCTATTTCCACCATTTCAGGATTGAGTAAAGCTTCCATGCTATCCACGTAAGTCACTTGACCTATCTCAATTTCTGATCCCATGAGCTTCATCCACAACACAAACAAGAAGCTTCCACTAGTCATTTCCATGAAATAATCCCCAACAACAGTTCTGAAAGCCTGCCAAACAGTGTCCATAAAAGCACCTAAACTCCAAATCTGCATCGTTTCCTCATCTCTCTTCTTTCCCACGAGAGTCCATTTGGCTATGACGCAAGCTAGTGCCGCCAAAATCCCAGTAGAAACCCAAAATAAAGGAAACAACCAATACAGTGGAAGTTCCACGTTTTCTTTCACGTGAAGAATCCAGTTCAGAGGCGCAAAAATTGCTAGCCCAAGGAGAAAATGAGGCATAACAGTTTGCAGTAAAGGTTGAGCAACGGTGGCCCATGAGGTTTGGGACCAAGTTCTCTCCAGGGTCATCTTTTCTGCACGTTTTTTCGCCATTGTTGCTGCCATCGGGCAACCTGATAGATCAACTTTTACATCGGATTGTTCCAGGAAGAACTTCCAGGCCTCTGGAAGTGGTTCCCCATTTCGCAAATGCTGGCAAATCTCATAAATCAATGAGCGGCCATGATCAATTGAAGCACTTTGGGAACAAGATGTTGCCCGGATGATGTCAACCTCATGGCAGCGCAGGAAAGGATTGAACTCCAATGCTTCTGCTTCTTCCCGTGTAGCATTTTCTTCAACAGTGATGTCCCCGACATTAATATAAGGGAACTCAATCTCATCCCAAGGTCTGCTGCAGTCAAGTGCAATTTCCTGGACTGCCTCATCATCTGGTACTGGTCTTATTTGCATCTGAAAGATATAGCGAACCCCATAACTGGAACTCACACGTTTCTGGAAATCTTCAGCAAGAAAAAGTAAGGGGCGAGTATCCTTTTCGTCCCGTGGAATAGTTCCTGTTTCTGGTGGAAGAATCCCGATAGGCTCTACCTTACCAGAATCCTCATTAATTTCTTCATTATAAGGCGTTAACTTGAATTTCACATACATTTCCTTTCCATCTTCAAAACGAAGAAGTCTACAGAAATTTGAGTAATAATGCAGTTCTGTGTATGAGTTGGCTAGGCGTAGGGATGCCCAAACTGCATCACGCACATGCGGGGCCTTTTTCACATGCTCCTCCCTTGCAGCTAGACCACAAACTAGCCACGTTGCAAAATCAGCAATAGTGCGAGCATAGAATGCCTTTCCTGTTTTTAGAGTCAAGTCAAGAAGGGGACTGCTACCATCATCTGAAAGTATTTTTATTGCTGCCCCACGTGCATCAATCCGTGCATCATCATCAGCGGCCAAGCTATTACTATGCCGGACTAGAACAGGGTAGACCCGTCCAGGATGAAAGATTTTGTGACTGCCAAATCCTTCAATCTTCTCATAAATTTTCAAGTGTCCCCTCCCTGCAACACCGACTCTGTGGAAATATCTTGACTTGACCTTCAAAGTGGTGGCAGCCAAAGTTGCAGCCAGATTCCCAACTATCTTCTTATATTTCATGTCCATCTCTTCTATTCTGTCATCCAAAACATGATAAGTGTTTTTGACCATGACCGGAACTTGGGACCCAACATAGACACCGCCTCTCTGGAGAACTGAATTCACTGGAGCTACTGAGAGTGCACCAAGAATAACGTCTCTTTGAACCGTTGAACCTGGGAGGATTAGGCTATGACTTCCAACAACTGAATTGTCTTCTATTTTTACTTTCCCCCGAACAAAGCCACCAGGGGAATAGAACCCAGAAATGATTCGACTGAAGTCACCAAGATGGACGCCAGAACCGATTGCAATCAGTTCTGGGTTCGAAACTGGATTGATTGCTCTGATGGAACAATGCTTACCTACCTTTGCGCCCAGAAACCTTAAGTAGATGCAGAAGGCTTCTGTCCCAGACAAGAGCTTGGCAAATCTGAGGTGACAGGCAATGGTAATCCTATGGCGAAGCCATGTTTTTAGATGATATTGCTCTGTTCGTTGTTTATCAGCAAGAATGTGAGTCAAAGTGCACGTGACGATGCTGAGTACAAGACCATGAAGGAAGTAAACGGTGGCCATTGAGATAGCAAAGGCAGCTGGATTTGACGGGATATTTGCAAACATGGTAGTATAGGCAATAATGGGAAATACAATCCAATGAAATGCTCCAGATATACAGACAAATGCGAAGTGCTTAGGGGATGCAGGATTTTGAGTTAGCCAAATGCAGAGGAAGTAGATAAAAGCTGCTGAAAGGGTGCCAAGGAAACTGACTAAATATATGCCAATGAAGTGATAAATGGCCTCATTTCGAGTCTGACCAGCAGTAACTGGCAACACTTGTCCCTAAAAACATGACAAACAAGGGGCCTTGATCAGTATCTACTTTAATTGCAAGAAAGAAGAGCATTTATATATGTAGACATTGCTTGAAGGAAGTCTCTTGATGATGTTTGTATGCAGAAATAACATTGTAATCATTGCTAACCATCACGGCTGACCAACTAAAAAGATTCCAAATTTACAAATTGATATGTTGCAGACCATATGAGAATATCCATGAAGGCAGACAAAAGTAAATTTAAATGTTGTCATTCAGTTGCACATAATTTAAATGTTGCCATTTTTCGTCTTTCTCTAAAACCTCCTACTCACTACTGATTTCCTCTTCTTCTTTTCTTGCCATTTGCTAAATCAAGAAACTTTTTAATCCATAGTTTTTCTTCTTATTTCGAGACAAATGTAGTCTGAAATGAGAAATAGATACTATTGAGAGTTTTTGAACAGATCTATCACTACTGTTTTTTTTTCTTTTTTTTGGGGTGGGCGGAGGGAGGTATCCAGTAGAGTTTAACTGTAATCTCGAATGGGTGGAAACTGGATTTTTGTAAAAGTTTCCACAAGTTAAATGTGTATTCAGATAGGATCCATCAGAGGAAAAGAAAATCATATAGGCACTTACCTTCTGAATATTGTTAACCTTGGAAGACTTGAGTACAGGGTTGCCCACATCACTCTTCTGCAACGGCAACACGTTAGCTCCTTCTAGCAATGTGCTCCCTTTTTGAATTACAGCATATGGACCAATAGACGAATTTCTACCAACTCTAATTGGATGGAGGCGCAAAATTCCACTCCTCACTTCATGACTTTGAATCAATGCCCCCTCCGCTATTACAGCTCCATCTCCAATTGAAACCAGAGGTGGGTCTGTAATGTCAACTGTGTCCAGCAAAACTGATGATCCAATCCTAGTTCCCAGCATCTTAAACCAATAATTTAGGAATATTGTTCCCCTCAAATGTTCAGCAAAAACTTTGGAAGAAATTTGTTGGACTTTGTAAAGTGCCCACCACTTAACAAAGTCCATTGACCAAATTGAAATTTCATAATTAAGGGCATAATTTGGTTGTAGAAAAGGATTCCCAAAGAAAGCGATGCAAATGCAGGTTAAGACAATGCAAAGGATCCAAGCAAAGGGAGCAAGAAAAATTGGAAACAAATAGTCTGACCAGGGAATTTCGAGCACTGAGTTATGGATGGTTGAGACAAAGCTTATGAAAGCAGAAAGTGACACATAAGCAGGAAATATAAGCATGGCAGATATATATATCAGGGCAAGAAATTGGACAGACCAGATACCCAATCGGCGGAAATTGGAGATCTCTGTCACTAGGTCATCAGATTTAATAGCAGAATCTGTAGGATAAGACGTGGTGATTGTTAGTTGAGGTTGAGACTTTTGTACAATATTCTCACAGAAGCTTGCCAAGTCTGCAATGCAGGTTGCTGTAAATATATCAACTGCTCCAATAGGCACTCCAAGATAGTCTGAGAGCTTTTGGGCTGCACTTACTACACCAATGGAATCTATTCCATAAGACACAATGCTCTCTGTGGCAGAGATTTTCGCAATAGGAATCCCAGTCTGATGAGAAACAAGCTCCTTCAGAAACTCCACAATATCTCTATTATTTGATTTGGGGTTTGGTAAAGGACTGCTAACTGGGTGAGAGCAAGGTGTATACCCCTCCCTACATGTACCTGTAGTCAATGATCGATGTAAAATTTTCTTCGACAAGATTGGTTCTGGAATTATGTTCAAAGTTCCATCAGTAAACTGCTTGAGACATTCGAATCTCCTTATTTTTCCAGATGTTGTTTTACTAATCGTCTTGGGCTTGATCAACTTGACAGCAGCAACATTAACGCCATGTTCTTCTGAAACACGGGTTTTAATTTGTTCAACAATATGTTTGTCAACGGGCTTACCATCTCTTAACTCGGCAATCACAACCAACCCCACTTGATCAGAACCATCAGGAACTGAAATTCCCTTTGCTGAAAGAACTTCCTCTGGAACACCAATGACAGCACAACATCCTGGACGTATAAGTTCTGATGAAGTCTCAACTGTCTTTTCTACATCTGCTGAGTAAATGTTCCTTCCTGCTACAATTATAAGATCTTTAATTCTTCCAGTGATGAACAATTTTCCATCAATTATTCGTCCCAGATCTCCAGTTCTTACATATCTTCTTTCTGCATTGTTTTGAACCTTATTTCTGAAAGTGTTCTGGCTGAGTTCTTCCCTCCCCCAATACCCAACTCCAGCACTTGGGCTGCTAATCCATATTTCTCCTTCTTTTCCATCTTCTTTGAACTCTTCATGATTGTCCGGATTGACTATCCTGAAGTCAACATCTGCATTGTCTGGACTGACATACCCACAGCATACTCTTCCCTGCCAATCAACCATGATGGGCTTCCCTTCTCCATATGCACAACTAACAAAGACACAATTTTCTGCAAGACCATAACCTGGAGCCATCACTTCTTGAGAAATTCCAAACGGACGAGTGAGCTCAACAAATCTCTTCAAAGTTTTCTGCCTCACTGGTTCTGCAGCAACCATAAGAAAAATAACTGAAGAAAGGTCATATTTTTGGACTCTATCCTTGTGAGACTCCAATCTTCGGACCACCATCTCAAAAGCAAAGTTTGGTCCAGCACTGTGAGTAGCCCTGTATTTGCTCATGGTCTGAAGCCACGAGAGAGGATTCTTGATGAATGTCAGTGGGGAAAACAATATTGCCGATCCACCACTAACCAAAGCAGTAAAAAGTCCCCCAATAAGCCCCATATCATGATATTGAGGAAGCCAGCTTACTAGTATTGTCTTTGAGGTGCTCTTGTATCTTCTTCGCATCAGCTTCACATTATGAATTAGACCACCATGAGTAATCATGACGCCTTTAGCATCACCAGTGGAGCCTGATGTGAACTGTAGAAAACATAGATCATCTGGATAAGAGTCAGATTGATCAGCTATGGATTCATAGTTTAAACCTTTAGAATTTTTAATCCAAGAATCTGTGTGCAACCAGGGAAGGTTGGGCCACTGAGCTGCAGATTTCCCCTTCTTTCCACTCAATGTGAGCAGACTTTTTACTGCACCTACTCGAATTGCTGAGTGATAAGAAATTGTTGATAAAATGGCCACTGCATTGCATGATTTTGCGATGTTTACAATCTTCAAAAGCGCTTGCCCACCTCTTTCCAGAGGATCTGGGGGAAGAACTGGGACAGGTAGTACCTTAGCTCTTAGGCATCCAAAGAATGCATCAATAAAGTCAAGACCTGGGATATAAACCAGAAGGACTCTGTCACCAGTCTTCATAGCTGGTTTTTGGCATGTCAAGATCTTATGAGCAATGCAATAGGCATTAGCGTTAAGTGTTTCATATGTCCTCTCACACAAAACTTCCCCTTGATCATTGATCCAAGTGTAGAGTGTCTTTTTCTGAGTGATCCTGTGAGTTCCCCAATGCTTCAAGTAGCAATCAAGACTAGACAGTTGAGGGAATTCGACTCCTGGGAATTCATCCAATTCTTTTGATCTCCACCCCGAAAAATCAGATTGCAGCTGAAACAAACTCTGCAGAGAGCAGCGGTGGCATTTGATTAAGATAAGCTATAATGTTTGAGGAAAAAAAAAACAATTTCATTCCTTCATCACCTTAAATATCTAAAATGAAAATTTACCCTAACATATGGGAATATTGGCACAGAGTTGTCATTTGCAAAGTGCTTGCAGATTAGAGCCATGGCATAAGATGAAATTCTCTCAGTAAGCTCAAATGCGGTCAACCCACCTACATAGTAGGTGTTCCTTTTTCCTTGAAGTTCAGACTCAAACTTTTCATAAAATCCCTCCTTGATATCTGCATCCAAATTAACAATCAGCATCCTTAGACTAGCATCAGAAATAGAAGCACCTCGTGGAGCATACCTTGGCTACCAACATGAGGAAAATACTTAAATCGTCGTTGTAAAACCACTTTCTGAACTTCTCCTCCCATAGATTTAGCTGCATTGATTGCACGCTCAGTGACAGTAGGCCCTTTTAACATCAACAGAATTTCCATAAGACCAGAACAAGAAAATGTCCGTTTCAGAAAAGAATTTCTGCATCGCGACTGGATGTCCAACTGTTGTGGGATCATTCATATATTCACCAAAATAATAAAAGCCCATTGGAATATCTTCTAGTCCTTTAATCTTCAAAACAGTTGTGTAATAGTCAATTGTTTCCACTTTACTGAACATCTCCTTCTCAAGCTGGTCAATATCCATCACCCCAGTTTCACAGTGGTCTGTAATAAAAATGCCCAGTTGGAAACCGCAGAAGAGGAAATAAAAGAAATAAACAGAAAGAAAGAGAAATCCCTAGTTGCCAAGCATGACAAACCTGTAGAGTTTGAAGGTGCTGCTAGGTAAGTTTTCCTATTATTGAAAGGAAAGGCACCTGTGAAGATGATTTTATCAAAATAAAAAATTTTGGTTTCCCCATTAATATCTTTGGCATTAACAGTGACATTTACTGAATTGCGCCTAACTGCCAATACTTCAGTGTTGCAGAGGATTTCCACAGGAAGAGATTCACGTATCTTCTGCCAAAGACTCGTGTATCCACCTTTAAGTCGTCGTATTTTTCCAGCCATGGAGGTTCTAGTGAACTCATGAACAAATGCATAGGGCATGTCTTGTACAAATCCATAACCAGAAGCAGTATATCCATAAGCCACGGATTGAGGAACGCATTTAAATCCGTGGGCCTCAAGATAACTTGGAGTCAAATCTGAAGCAAACTCACTAACAGCATGAATTCCAAATCGACCAGAAACCTTTGCCCTATCCTGTGGAGAAACAACATTTCTCAAATAAACTAATTCCCAATCTTTCATGAACAAGGTAGCTCACTTAGTGAAATAGAAATTGACCTGAAGTTCCAAGGTCAGTGAGATCACAGAGACGTAATCATCTGCAACTTTGATGTCCTGATATTTTCCTGTAGAACTGTTAATCAGTGCAAGCTTGTGGGAGTCCATTTCTTCAAATTCAGACCCAGTCTCTTTCGCCAAATGGAAGATAACTGGTGCACTGTTGGCTGCAAGCACCTGGCCACCCAGATCGTAAATCTTCCCTGCATATAATTGTGTTCTACATATGGTCAAAATAATTGGCAAATCTATACACTGAAAGAGTCATTGTTTCTGTACCTTCAATTTCAACTGATTCACACATGCCACCAACAGTGTGATACTTCTCCAACACAGTGACATTGTTGTAACCAAGCTTGGCTAGTGCATAAGCAGCAGATAGGCCACCTGGACCAGCTCCTACTATCCCTATTCTTGTGTTCAGAGGTAGGCATGGGTGTAGCTTCAAGAACTGATCTTCTATTGGCTTTCCAGGGTCCATCGTTTCTTTAGTTTAGTCCTCCTGTTGGTAGTGGCGAGAGAACATAAGCAAAAAGCTGAGTCCAGCTTCCATCTAGTTCTAGATGCCAAATTCTGCAACCCATGAATGTGCATTTGTCACGATAGCTAAAGAAGGTCTAAGTGACCTTAAAAAGTCCAAACAAAATCAAAGGCGCAACAAAGATAGAGATAAAAAACTTGTGGAAGACCAGAACCCAACAGATATAAAATGCTTCTAATCATTTAGTAGGGACTTAGCACATCAATCTTTTAATGAATCTCTTTTTCTTCTGTCATTAAATTGAGATGAGAATTAGTTCCTAGCAGCTGGTGCGTAACTGTAAGGGAACAGTATTAAAACCAAGTTAAGTTGACTCCCGAGATAGAGGTTTAACTATCTTTAAGAAGTGTCTTCGTGTCTGTTACCCAGTCTTGGCATTATTTTTATTTTAGTTCTCTAACAGTAACAAACCTCTGGATTGAAACAAATGGAGATGACTGTACATTTCCAAGCTGCCTCGATCAATTCCCGGTTGTGCGTGCACCACTTTCTGTACCACTTCCTGTAATGTCGATTCCACCACAAAGTCAAGAAGCTGAAGACCAAGGACAGAAGACAAGTCAACAGAAAAGTCTGAGATCACAAGAAGCTCTCTCTAAAACACAATATCTCTAAGTCATTAAATCACAGAGATAAAATTCCTTTCACCCATATAACAAAACAGACACATCATCAGTTCTTTCACTCTGTTTTCCAAATCACCTCTCTCTCTGGCCACTTCTCTTTCGAGCCTAACTTCAAACACATGCCAGGCATTCCAAATGGCAAAACCAGAGATAGCTCGAGCTACTTCTCTCTCAAACCCAGCAACATACACGCACACACACTCTCTTTCTCTCTCTCTCTCTCTCTCTCTCTCTCTGCCTGTGTTTACGTGTGTACATTATAGAATTACTCAAGCAAAACAAGACAGCGACTGAAGAACAAAAAGAAAACAAAGCTTGGAGATGTTAGAAAGACAGCAAGTATAACCTGAGAGAAGAAAGAGGCAAATTGGCATAATAAGGATGGGCGCCAAATGGACAGAAAAGAACTCGCGGAAATCCGTCAATAGAGGAGAAAAACCGATTCACCACTCTTGGCAAAAAACCTGCTGATTTCATCCTGGAATATAAAGACAATCGATTCCCGTTCCCTCCAGTAGCTACACGACAAAGCTCACCTTTCTCAGGCCCTAGTTTTCTCCGAGCATCTTCTCTTGACAACTCTACATATTCCGTGCTTACGCCGAGCTTTTCTCTTGCTAATTCCGTCTCTGACAGCAGCAAGCTTGACCAAGCATCCTCTTCATTTACGTAATCGATGGCATAAAATAAATACATTTTCCGTTTGGAAATCACCATAAACAGAAAATGCTTCGCGATTGGCAACAGGGATTTCTGAAGTGCGGATCCATGGCGGAAAAGAGACGACGCGAACAATGTGATTTTCGATCCTTGAGGAACCAGGCAAATTTTTTTTCAGAATTTTCTTTTGAGAACACCCTTCAAATTTAAAATAAAGAAAACAGGAGGGAATAGTAACCGTTATAACGGTTGTTGTGAAAGAAGAAAGCAACTAACTAAAAACAAATAAAATTTCCCATGAATATTTTTAAAATACTTCATATAATAATTAATTACTTAAATTTTTTAAATATAAAATTTGAATTTAATTTTTAATTAATTATAATTTATATATAATTCTTATAATAATAATAAAAAAAGAACATGTCTCATTGTAGCTTGACAAATCTACAGAACAAGAATTAAACTTTTTGAGACACCTGAAGAACTTATATTATATATATATATATATTCATTGAATTTGAAATAATTAAATAAATATCATTAGACAAAATTCAATTGATGAAGCCATTTCAATGTTGTATTTATAATATATTTTTCATTAATTAAACTCTGATAATGCATGGGAAGGAATTCTATTAACAACAAGTCCACCATATTCAGGGAAAAAAACCTATAAATACACACACACACACATATATATATATATATATATGTATATGTATTTTATTCATGAAGCAGTGTATGGTTGACAAATGACAAAGCATCTGCCATTGAATTGTCTGAATAGAAGTTCTTTTTCTTAGCCGGTTCATTAGGTCATTCATGGTTATACGCACACAC